ATAAAAATGGAAAAAGTAAAACAATAACGAATCGAAAAACATTGAGAGAAAGAACCAATCATTTGAAAAAAGAAAATAATAAAGAAATATAATAATGGCTTGCTTGAAAGCAAAGAATTTTTTTTTTAATTTTACTATAACTTATTTTTATATTTCCAGGTTTCAGGTAGATTTCCTAATTTATTTATTTGTTAATCTTTTTTTTGTCGGTTTAAGTTTGCCGTTTTGTTTGTAGTATGTTTGTGAAAACTTGTGTTGTTGTTGCTATTGTGTTTGTATTGTTTGCTGTTACTGTAGCTGTTTTTGTAAATTTGATCTGTTTATGTATGTTTTTTTTTTTTTTTTTTTAAAACTATATTATGATTATTTCTATTTTAATATTCGTTATTCTTATTTTCATTAATTATTTTTCCTTGTTTTTCATTATAATAGTTGCTATATGTCATTGTTTACTTTTACGTTTTATCAGTTGTAACTGTTTGTAACTGTCTAACTTTGTTTATGTAGCTATTGTATTTATAAAGACAAGTGACTTATATATAATTATTATTATTGTTATCATTATTATTAATATTATTTTTATTATTTAAACCATTATTATTTTAATCATTTTCATTAGGTGTTTACTTAATATTAGTATATTTACTATTTGTAAACAACCTTGAAATGTATCTATTTCAGAAATATATATTGATTGATTGATTGAATGATTAATTAGTACCCCTAACCAAACTATTGTTTTGAAAGAAATCAAATATACATTCCTAATTATGTCGGATAATCCAGAACCCGAATCTTCTTCTGTTACAAAAACCACCAAACGTTCACAATCAATTGTATGATCTAATGAACCATTTAAATTCTCAACACAAAAACAAATTACTTGGGGACAGAGAACCAAAGCAACGACGTTTAGATGACATGATAATGACACCAATCGTTTATTCTCCAGATCTATTCAATGAATACTTAGTTAGCTGGATTGTCAAGAATGATCAATCATTTAATGAGGTAGAGTCCAGCCACTTTCGTAAAGTGCTCACTCTACTGAAACCAAATTTGTCAATCATGAGTGCGCGCCAATTAAAACGCCAGATAATGGACACTTACAACACCAAAAAACAATTGCTAAAGACCCTTTTTTTGAATCTTGACTCAAAGGTTTCATTCACCACTGACTGTTGGACATCACCCAACAACATTGCTTTTATGGGCATAACGGCTCATTACATTGACAAAGACTGGAACCTACATGCCAAAACTCTTGATTTCAAATCCTTGCCTGGTTCCCATTCAGGTTTAAATTTATCTAATGCATTCTTGTCAGTTTTGATTGAATTCGGTCTTACAAGCAAAGGAATGGGCATTACCTTAGATAATGCTTCCAATAATAATTCATTTATGGATTTTTTAAATTCCAAGTACGAAATTAAAACCACCTTTAAGCATATCCGGTGTTTTGCTCATGTGCTGAATTTGGGCGCGCAAGCAAGTTTGGATGTTTTGAAAGATGATCTTGTAAAACTTAGAACAGGAATTAAAAAAATCCGATCCAGTCCTCAATCATATTCTAGGTTCAAAGGTTTCCAGCAATCAAATTGCACCTTAAAACCAATACTTGATGTCCCTACAAGATGGAACTCAACAGCTGATATGCTTAAACGAGCAATGAAATTAAAAGTTGGTTTCATTGCGTATTTTTGCGATTTTGACTCAACTGCAAGCAATCCAGACTGTTGTCTATCAATTTCACCAGATGTTTGGAACAGGTTTGAAACAATTGTTTTGTATCTTGAACCATTCCAGGAATTTACCCAGCTCATTAGTGGTGATTCATATTCCACATTGTCTTTGGTGGTTCCTCTCTTCAATATTCTTTTGGATCACATTACTGAATGGATGACCACAAAAACCAACCCTGAAGATAATCTACACCGCTCTACAGTTGCAGCGTTCGCAAAAATTTCAAGATATTATAATTTGACTAGTGACTGCTTTACTATCTGCACTGTCCTGGACCCAAGATTTGGTATTGAATATTACAAAAATGATAAGGGCGCAAACAGCGAGTCGTATACAAAGATTATGGACACAGTCAATTGTGAATATCAAATCAATTATGCCCCAAGCAATATTACAACTGCTACAAGCATTCAAAACGTTTCAAAATATACCCCGTTCAAATCGCGTGTTTCATCAAACCCATGTAATGAGTTTGAAAACTATTGTAATGATACAAGTAAGCTAGATGGCGGCAATAATAGCAACATATTACTTTGGTGGGAATCTCGATCTGACAAATATCCAAACCTATCCAGAATGGCCAGAGATTACCTGGCCATTCCTGCTACATCTGTATCATCAGAAAGGCTCTTCTCATTAGGAAAAAATCTTATTACTGACAAAAGAAATCTTCTCTCTGCAGATACCATTCAAGCTTGCCAGTGCTTGAAGTCTTGGTTGGATTAAAAAGAATAAAAGAAGCTGTAATGTGTGAGAAATAGTTACAAATGCTGTAATATGAATAAAATTTATAGATTCAGATAACTAAAATTAATAAATGAAATAAGTTAAATAACGTTCAAATATACATCAAATCTTTGAAAGATTTGAATTTGATCTAAATTCAAAATAGGAAGATTTGAATTTGGCCATTTCAAACATTTGACGCATATTTGATCAAACTATTTGAATTTGTGCCGAACACTAATTGTTAAATAGAAACCCTTCTACTTCCCACGGATAGTAATAAGCACATTCTTTGTTAATGTCATGAAAATAATTAATGTCTTTGTTAATGTTTTCGCCCAATCAAAAAACATTATCAAAAAAAGTAAAAGTTTCGAAATTGTTTACTGATGCCATAATTAATAAAAGCAAATAAGTTTATGTAAAAATATAATAAAAATTTAAAAGATAATATATTACTTTTTTTTGGAGTTCCAATCGCGAACAATAAGTTTGTCGTATGAAATATACGCGTATTTGCCAGCTTGCCTTTCTATTTTCATTTTTTCATGTAGTGTCTTTCGTATAATATTTGTTTCCTTGCAGAAATCTTCATATATAAAAATGTTTTTACCTTTTAATTTGGAAGAGTTGTTAAGAATTTCAGTTTTATCTTTAAAATCAAAAAGTTTTAGTATTATTGTTCTATGTTTGTTGTGAACTACTTTGCCTGTTCTATGCGCTCTTTTAATGTTTACATTTTTGACTCCTAATATGTTGTTTAATATTTCTTTTACCTTCTTTTCACATTTAGCCCAGCTTTCATTGTCATTTTCAAGGACACCATCGATTCTTAAACTATTACGCCTTGACCTATCCTCAATCTCTCTGAGTTTGTTATTTATTTTTATAAGTTCATTGTTGTTATTTTGTGTTTTGATGTTTGCCAGATTTTCTTTTGCAAGACAATGGCGGTTTTTATTTTTTTATTAAAGAGATCTTCATGAAAATTTAAACTCTCTTTAATTTCTTCTACTTCCTTTGCAATTGATGCTATTTTGGTTGTATTTTGAAGTATGTTAAGATCAACTCTGTCTAATCGATCATTTAATATTTTTGTGTTAGAACTATGTTGATGAAAGTATTTTCTTGTTGCTTAAGCATTTCTTCCGTCTCGATCTTAAACTTCATAAACATTTCTGTTATTAATTTTTTAACTTTAACAAGTGTGATAGACATGTTCAATAAGTATAAATTAATATAATAAAAAAAAGTAACTATTAATACTATTAACGATTTTCTATTTGTAACATGTAAATGTTGTTTGTTTTTGAAATATATAAAAATAATTGTTGTAAAAAAAAAAAAAAAAAAAAAAAAAAGTACATTTGCAGCAGCAAAAGGGGTTGGAGAAGCAGATGATAATTATTCTACCCACTCATTTGATAATAAATACTTGAACTTGAACTACCCACTCATTTGATAATAAATACTTGAACTTGAGATAATAAACACTTGAACTTGAGCAGCCAGTCTCGATTGCGTTAAAGAACTAGAGTTGTAGTCATTACTGTAACTGTATTCTGCGGATAGCTAGAAAGATTTTCTTAAGTATAGATTAAGGGCGTAATATTGTACGCTAAATACAGTTTTTTTAAAAAAACTGTATCTAGCGTACTATGCAGGGTTAAGGGTCCCAGCAGGTCGCCCTCTGACGCCGACGGGTGCAAGTTTGTTTTTTATTCAAGTTACACCCTCTAGCTCACTAACTCGGAAAAGAGTTTCCTTATCAGATAAGGTTAGGGTGAACATTAGTTTTTTTAAAAAGATCGGGTATAGTTGCTGTAGTTATGGGCGTTAAAGTCTCTTTTTTGGTCAATTTGCATAAAATCGAAAAGCTGGACCTATATGGCCCTGTAATTTTCGTATCATAATTTTTTTTTGTTGGATCGCCTGATTTTAACTATGTACGAATGGACCCTTGGAAGTTGTTAAAAATGTTTTGGGACCCTTAAAAACCTAACCTTGTGTTGGCCCTTTTTTGTATCTGGCGTGGAATTTTAGGATCTTTTTTTTTGCTCTTTAGGCATGAATGTTAAACGTTTTTTTGGCAATGTTGTACTTTTCTGACGTAAAATTTTATGCTCTTTCGATTGGTATATTTGGTTTTTGATTAAGATTAAAATTTCGTCTTTAATTTTAGTTTAAACACAAAAAAAAGGTTAGTGTAGCAAGCGTACAGTTGGTAGTTTTAAATGGCAGGGCGCATTATACAACGACATTGTTGAGAGGCATTGTTCCATTTTTAATATGTTACAATGTCTATCAGAACCTAGCGCCTGACGAAAAAAAAATTTAAAAATTATAATATTTACAAGCTAGGGCGTCTTTACATGTTTGTTACGGGGTTAGGGGTAAAAAGGGTAGTTGTGACCCAAAACTTAGATTGCAAAGACATTCTGACGTTAAAGTATGATTCGACTTATATATAATTTTAATAAACGGCCTTATGGGATTTTAATTTTGCGTTTAATTAAGAAAATACAAAAATATGGGCAATTTATGTATATAATGTGCAAATTCGGGACCCAAAACACGTTTGCTTCTGTATCTCAGTATAGATAAAAGTTATAAATATAATTTTTTTTTTGTTAGGTTGCGTACCATAACTTTAATAATTATTAAAGTTTCTGTCAAGTTTGGAATACGATTTAGCTTGTAAAACATAACCCTGTAGTTGATTTTTTCCATTTCGGCATCCTGTGTACAGTACCTTTTAAAAAGGGACAATAAAATCGGAACGAACTCATACAATAGTCAGGTTTCTTTTCTAAAGTGTTAGCACTTGTGTGTATAACAACATATATGACGGCTGCGATTGTATCTAATATATTTTTTGCATTTAAGTAGGTCAATGTACTGATACGCCCTGTTTGCAGAGTATCTAGCAGAGTTTATTGCAGAGTTTGCAGAGTATCTAACCTAGATATAGAACTACGAAAAGCTAATCTTGTATCGTGCGTAAAGGTTAACGCTATATACAGTTTCGTTTTTGGACTTATACATTAGACAATATAGTAACACCCTAACTCAGCACCCTGACCACCACCCTAACCTTGTTACTAAAACTATGCTAATTTGCACGCCTAATACAGTTTTTTACTAACCTTATGTAAAACTATTAAACTATGCACGTTATATACAGTATTTATACATACTTACAAAAAAAAACTATAATTGACGTGCAAAGTATGTAGTTTAATTAAAGGTTAATTTTTTAACTGTATCTAGCGTGCATTATGTCAGGGTTAGAGTATTTTTTACATTATAAATTATTTTGCCGTCACATGTGATACATCCATTCGATAGAGGATCAGTTCCCCATCAGGGAAAAAGTCAATTTTTCAAATGCCATGTATTATACATCATTTCGATAGATAATTTAATGCTAAGAGCAATGCCGCAAACAGAATTTGATAAAACGCTATAGTTTGTCTCTAATCTGCAAAAAACTGACGCAAAAAACGGAGGGGCGGCAACAGAAAAACGTCAATTAGAGACAAACCATACAGCAGATGTCACATATGATACTTGAATCCGATAGAAAATTAAACGGTGAGTGTATTAACGCAATCTTTTTTTATGGCTGTTGTTCCGTTTGGCTACAAATTGCAAAAAACATCGTTACCGGACATATTTTTTTGACGAAAAAACGTTGTTTAGAGACAATCTCGACGTCACCTGTCACAACTCATACATCATTTCGATAAAGAATCGAGTGGAGAGTCTAACGGTTTTATCACTTTTGACGGTTGCGCTTTTGCTTGTCTTTAATCGTGTAAAAACTAAAAAAAAAAATTTTACACGCTAGATACAAAATTTAAAAGGTTAAGGTTAGCACGCAGTATACAAAGTCCCGGATTATAAACTTAGAACCCAAACCCACAACCTAGATTGGTACCAGATCCTAACGCCCTGCACGCTGGATACAGTTTTTTATATAACTCTAAAAGTTAATCTTAATGTACGCTGATTAGATTTTTATTTTATTAAATTACACGCAGAATACAAAATATACACGCTCGATACAAAATTGTACGCATTATACAAACTTTGCACGCACACTACAATACTGAGCAAATAACACGCCTGTTACAGTAAAATTCTGCACGATACAGAAATAATCCAACGTGGACCGCAGGATACAATTTTTTGTTGCACGAATACAGGAATGGTTAGCTGCAACTCCACCCCTAATAATTATCCAGTATTTGGCCAAAATAACACAAAAAGAATTAGACTATAACGCGTCAAGTAGTGACTGCTCACTTGATAATGATCCACCTGCTGCAAAAAGTAGACAAAAGAAGTAGAAGCTGTCTTCATTCATCAAACATGGCCTTAATTCAAATGACATTCTTAATTATTTGGTATTTTTAGATTTAGTTGTTGAACGCACTGCTTCCGATAAGCATGAAGAAAGTGAGTTGAAATCTGAAACTAGCAGTAGTAGCACTAGTAGTGATGAAGATGACGGGCCTTTTAATGACGATGAATTAACTGGAAAAAAAGCTGCTGTTATTTAAGCGCATGCTACATTTATCAACAACTTTTTCTGCAAATATGTGGAAAACTAAATCGCTGATAATGATGCTGCTGTTGACGCGGAAGAAGAAGTTATTGCTCCCAATGAACTGCATAATTTGAAATCAGTTATGGATCTCGAAATTGAAGAAAGAATAAAAAATATTGCTGCTAAACATCCAAAGGAAGAAATAGCATAGGAAAATCTTCTAAAATATGTTGCTTCACATCTGGACACAATCGAAAACAATAGTTGTTCTTCAAATGTTGTCAAGTTCGAAGCTTGGTCTTAAACTGGCAGAAAAGCCAACGTTTGGAAAAGTATTGATGGAGTCATAGCGTCCTCAAATGGAAACTGCTAGATTGAAGTACAAGCTTAAATAAGAACTATATATTTATAATATACACATATTTTTATATTACATATTTTTACAGGCCATTACAGTATGGGGAATTCGGCAAATATGCACATTACAGATTGCTTGATGGGTCACTGCAATTTTCGATAGGATCAATTCCCAAAGATATTCGCTTTTATCTTTATGAATTAGTTACTAGACTTCCTGAAAACTTTGTCAAAAATTCTTGCATATGCATATTAATATACAATTTAGAGGAAAAGGCGGACATCGTGTCCACGCACAAATGCGCAACAGTTTGATGCGGGAAGATATTTCAAAAATTGGTCTACCACCAATGTAAGTTATAATTCCAACTTAACTAAAATTTTTCTAATTCTGACTTAATTTTGAAAAATGTAATTCCTACTTACTTATTTTAATTCTGACTTTTTCTAAAAAGTTGTTAAATAAGACGTGCTCTACTCAATGGTGGATTAAAAAATGGAGCAGAAACAAACATTGTACACTTTTCGAACTTCAATGAGAATGATTTTGGTGTCATCAACCAAATTACTTCTGCCCATCCAATAAATTTTGTCAAATGGGAGAGGAGGGAAACAAACCGAATGCCATGTAACGCGCCATATGAAATGGTTGATTTTTTGGGACTTTACCATCTCCAAAAAATACGAACAATGTTATACTTGTCAACAGTTCAATTGGCAAGCCAAAACTCTGCGTTGTTTCCGACATGCGATATGATGGTGTAGAAGACAAATTCAAAGTGACAATTTCTCCTTTCAAAAAATAAGAAGATTTTTTTTAAGGATATCCGTGCAGTTTATCAGATTTCAATATTATTCTAGTTTCTGGAGATATAAATCATGACTAAAAACGCAAAGTTGATGCAGACTGCATAGAAAATTAGTTCGTCTGTCTCTTAAATGAGAAAGAAGTTGCTGACATTGATACTGATGCAAAAGAACAAGGTTGATTTAACAAAAAAATTGTGCACACATTTGTTCGATGCTATGACTAGTCAGTAAATCTATTTTTCCATGTATATACGTGTTCATTTCCGGTATAAAGTATATATTTTTGATATCAAAAATTGTTCAGTATTTATTTTAAATAATTAACAACTGACACTCATATATATTTCTCGTAATAAAAAGAATTATAAGATAAAGATATTTATGTATCGAAATTAAGGCAGCATAATTCTTACTTATTTGAATCTTACTTGAATCAATCCAATTAACTCGAAATTAGTGTGAAACATCTTTCTAATTTCTGATTCCCACTTATCAGCCTAAAATATCCAAAAATCGTCAAAAAACGCTTTAATTCCGACTTAAAATGGAGTTTTTCACACATTTTTGAGTCTAATTTTTGATTTGCGTTCTATTAGGGATTAATTGAGGTTTAAGTTGGGTTAGTCAATTTATATAAAAAATAAAGGTTTTTCTAGATTTAAAACCGAAAATAAACTCTATTGCGTATTTATGCTCCCCATGCTCGTTGTTCTTGAAACAAATCATCTCAAAATCATTAAAAAAAAAGTATCAAGCTCAATTTAAATCCACAGTTGGTGTATGTTAAAAAATGTTAAACGAAAAGATTAAATGTTCATGATATAACCAATTTAAGTCTGTTGATTAATGAAAATTCCGCTGCGTCTAATGCTTGTCAACAAATATAATCACATTCTACGGCTAATAATATAATAATGAAATAAATTTTAATAGTAATATAATAACTAATAAAGAACTAATAGTTGTATAAAATATATTCAGAAAACATTTAATTCGAAATAAAACATAAAATATTACGAGGTCACACTCGGTATATGAATATAGTTGTACTCGATAAATCAAGATGGCAGTTGTACTCGGTAAATAATTACTGTTACACTGATTAAATGAATACGGTTACATTCGCTCTATTAATACCATTACACTCTGTATATAAAAAGTATATTAATACCGTTACACTCGGTATTAATATCGTTACACTCTGAGTAAAACGTTTTATAAAAGTTTTTGTAAAATTTATCTGCGTTAATTTAAAAGTAGTATTCAGGTTTCTTCGACGAAGAAGTTTAAAAAATAACTTTTACCTTAAAAGCTGTTAAAATGCGTGTTTTGAGTTTACAACTTGTATTTTTATATTTTAATAAAAAAATAAGGTTCTGCAAAATGTATCAAAAAATATGTACTTTTTGATGTTTGTATTTTTGTTTGAAAAAATTAGATTATAAAATATTTGGATTGAAAAATAATAAACACCATGTTGTAAACTCAAAATTTAGTTTTGAGTATATACTAGTCATTCGGCAAGTATTTCTGGGAAATATTATTTCCCAGAAATACTTGCCGTAGATAGGCTTTTAATTATAATTAAAAGCCTGTCTACTACAAATGTGTCTTTTGATTCTCACTGTTTGTGTGTTATACATTTGCACCAATTATAAATTTTCGTAACTTTTTATATAAACAATAACAAAGCTTTTTTTTAAAAAAGACATTATAACATATAGTTTTTGGCATGATATAAAAAATTAAAAAATATTGCATGCTTAGCAATATACTTATTATATTTGGGTATAAGACCGACAAAAATACAACTATACGTTTATTAATATAGATATATTAGCTTTCTCTCGTTATAAATATTACATCAAGAAGATACGAGGAATGACTACAGCTACAACCTGCTAGCATGCAACTATAAACTATTTACAAATTCGCATAGCGATCACGTGATAACAAGAGTCACGCACTAACTAATAATGTAAGTGCGTGACTCTTGTTATCACGTGATCGCGATCGGCATTTGAGCGCTATCGCAACTATCCCGCCGGCAAAGAGCCGTCTACTTAAAGCGAAACTAGTCCTTCGTCTACAATTTGTACTTTCAGTTTATTGTTTATTTGTCCTGTAGCCCATTCAACCAGGTTAAGCTTATTTAAAAGTCTGTTAACTCTTTAACAGCTACTATTCTGAATATATCTTACTGCGGCACTTCTCAACTCATTATCTTTCAAATGTTTAATGTCTTTAACAATACCAACTTTCCACAGAATCCAAGATTTAGGGGAATTGTCTATTAAAACTATATCGCCATTTTTAATTAGATCGGAGCCTTTAACTTTGGAAGATTTTTAATATTCGCGCAGACTCATCAAATACTCGTCTTTTCATTGGAAATGCGTCAATAGCATGGAAAGATGTTTATTACGTTGATTTATATCTATATTATAATCATTTGCTGACAATTCAGGTATGACTTCTAAATTTATCTTCCTCACAAAAACTAAATGATTTGGTGTTACCACATCATCTCTTGGCTCTTCATAACTGAACGTTAAAAGTCTACCTCAAGAAGTATGGCTAACAACTCTTAATAACTTCATACATAACCCCTGAGATTTTATATTATACATAACGCATTCTACTTCAAGAGGTTAACAACTCTTCATACTTTATTCTTGAATTAGCTGATATCTTTTTTAAACAGATCTAACTAGTCTTTCAAATATTCCACCCCACCAGGAAGCTGCTGCTACATTGAATTACCATTTGATTGTCATTGGTGCAACAAATTCTTGTGTTTCTTTTGAAGCAAAGTGTGTGCCGTTGTCTGATACAATTTCTGGAGGCACCCCTCGCCGCGCAAAAAATCTTCGAAGACCAAAAATGGCACTAACTGCAGAGCAATCAGAAACTAAATTTAAAAAAAGTGCACGAGAGCTACAACATGTGAACAAAAATATCCATACTTTATTATTAATATTTGAAACATCTAATAATCTCTCAAACAATAATCTCGCGACCTCGAAATAACAATCTATAATAAAATCATCATGAACATCTTTTTTTCAAAATCATTAAAATCATCTTTTAAAAAACAAATCTTTT